ACAGGATTGCTCCAAGATTGCCCGAGAGGGCTCCAAGAGGGGCCTAGGAGGCCTCCAAGACGGCCCCAAGGGCGCCCAAGAGCGCTTCAAGAGGGGTCCAAGAGCTGATGTTTGGGGCTCCCAAGGGGGGTTGTAATTAGAGCTCCCATCTTTGTTGATCGCATTTCTCCCAGATGGCCCCAAGAGCGACCCCAAGCCTCCCAAGAGCGCCCCACGAGGGCCCAGACAGGCGTCCAGGAGGCCCCAAGAGGCGCCCAAGAGGCCTCCAAGAGACTCCCAAGAGACCCCCAAGAGGCCCTAAGAGGCTCCCCGAGGCACCAAAGACGCTCCAAGAGGCCGCTGGAACCGCCAAGATGCCCCCCCCCAGTCGCCCCAAGGGGCCTCCAAACAGCGTCCAAACGACCTCCGAGGAGACTCCGAGACGCATTTAAAGGCTTCCGGCTCTTCTGTTCGCCCCTTTCCTCCTCCTCCTCCTCCTCCTCCTCCTCCTCCTCCTCCTCCTCCTCCTCCTCCTCCTCTCTCCTCCTCCCCCTCCCCCTCCTTCTCCCCCTCCTCCTCCTCCTTCCTCCTCCTCCTCCCTCCTCCTCCTCCTCCACCTCCTCGTTCTCCTCCTCCTCCTCCTCCTCCTCCTCCTCCTCCTCTCCTCCTCCTCCTCCTCATCATCATCATCATCATCATCATCATCATCATCATCTCATCATCACATCCTCATCATCATCATCATCATCCACATCATCATCCTCTCATCCTCATCATCATCCATCATCATCATCTCATCATCATCATCATCATCATCATCATCATCATCATCATCATCATCATCATCATCATCATCATCATCATCATCATCATCATCATCATCATCATCATCATCATCATCATCATCATCATCCGCTTACGCCTCCTCCTTCTCCTCCTCCCTGCTGCCTCCTCCCCCTCCACCACCTCCTCATCCTCCTCCTCCTTCTCCGCCTCCGACTCCTCCCCCTCGTTCGTTTCCACGTTCCCCTCCTACTTCCTCCTCCTCCTCCTTCTCCTCTTCCTCCTCCTCCTTCTCCTCCTCTTGCTCCTCCTCCGATTCCTCCTCCGATTCCTCCCCCTCTTGGGGTACGACGTCTTCCCCAAGCCATGCTTCCACTGCATTCTACTCCACATCCCTGATCAGGGCAACTCGTCTGGACATCGTTCCTGGATGGGCTGGTGGGCTTACGCGAAGGGTCTAGAATCCCACCAGCCCTCTGGGCGCAGGTGGTCTAGGGAGGCTCCTCTTCCAACCCCTCTCCTCTAGGGATGCCCTGCTGTGCGGAGGGCTCCATCCCTGACATACAAAACAATACAACATGCACCTCGCGGCTAAATCTGGATCATGCGCGGCCACCCCGCGATCACTGTGAAAGGGACGGCGGGGGTGGTGGCGTATGGCCTGCTATGCGCAGGCCAATCAGACAAAATGATGGGCATTAGCTCTCGACAAGAATGGTGGGGGCCGACATGTTTACCGATGTGTGCTGCCACGTGCGCAGGCACACCTGATGCACTCTGCACGTGCTCCGAACGTGGAGCACCTGGCGCGGCTGGAGTATGCGGCACACCTAGTGCGCGCGGATCACGTGTCGCATCTGGCGCACCAGGCGTGCCTGGAACGCTCGGGCCCCAGGGGTGCCTGGCGCGCGTGGCGCGCCTGGCACGCGTGGCGCACCTCGCCCCCAGCGTCGCGCACATGGGGTCGGTTTTGGTTCCCAGTAGCTGCCCATCAAAAGACGACCGCTGAACATGGTCAGGCCCGGGTTTTACTTATGTGTTGGGAGGGAGGGTGGGAGTGAGCTGGACGGCCTGCTATCTAGGAGGGTGTCTTGACCCTTCCCCCCACCCCCCCCCCCGACCTGGACGGGGCGCCCCGTGAGCGGTCAGAGCATCCAATATGGCCTGAAAGATGACCTTCGAGGTGGCACAAGCTAGCCCAAGATGCCTCAAGATGGCTCCCAAGATGCTCCAAGAGGTCCCAAGACCGTTCCAAGACGGTTCCAAATGGCTCCGGGGCGCCTCACGGAGGCCGCCAAGATGCCAACACCGTTAGAGCCTAAGGACAGTCAATGAAACGTTGCCTTCTCGCCTTTTTGCTTTCGATGGCCTTCCGAGGCCTCAAGGCAGCTCCAAGAGAGCTCCAGAGAACGCCAAGAGAGGCCTGAGAGAGCCCGACGACGGCCCCGCGAGCGTCCAAGAGGACCCGTGAGCGCTCCAAGAGGGGTCCGAGAGTCGATTCCAGGCACCCTAGATGGGCAACGTACATTAGAGCTCCTCCCTTCTGTAATCGATGTCCTCCTAGATGACTCCAAGAGCGCCCCCAAGCCTCCCAAGAGCGCCCCAAGAGGGTCCAGAGAGGCGCCAAGGATGCCCCAAGAGGCGTCCCAGAGGCCTCCAAAAGGCTCCCAAGAGACCCCCACGAAGCCCCAAGAGGCCCCCCCAAAGGCCCCCGGAACCGCCAAGAGGCCCCGAAAACGCCCCCAGGAAGCCCAGAAGCTCGCCATTGTCCTCCTCCTCCTCCTCCTCCTTTTCCTCCTCCTCTTCATCCGCCACTTTCTCCCCCACTTCTTTTTCGTCCTCCTCCTCCTCCTCCTCCTCCTCCTCCTCCTCCTCCTCCCCCTCCCCCTCGTCCTTCTTCCCCGCCTTTCCTCATTGGGCAGTTCCGCGAAGGCGGATACGATTCTATCCTGGGTCTGCGCAGGCTGATCCAAGACTTCAGTTTGACAGCTTCCCAAGCTCTTGATCCACTGCATGCTCCTCCGCTCCACCGATCAATGCAACTCGCCTGGGCATCGTTTGTGGATGGGCTGGTCGGGATACGCGAATCGTCAAACACTCACATCGAATGTGCTCTCCCGGCGAAACAATTTCATGTAATCCAAAACATATGGGCGCTTACGAGGCCACCATTCTTTGTAAATTGCTGCAGACGCCCGCTCCCGAGACCACCACCCTTTGCACATTACGAATAGTGCTCACCATCAGAACCAGCGTCTGATGTTCCGCCGCGATTATGCGTCGCCGCCATAAAGAACCTCCCCCTCTGCCCTGAGCCTAAATTTCCAGCCGCTCCTCCGCGGGGACGCCATTATAAGCCAGCCCCCAAGCAACCAGATTCGTAATGACATTCATGATGATTGTGCCCATGAACATGATGATGGCAATGATGACTATGATGGCAGCGAGGGTGTTGATGGTGCTAGCGGTGACGAGCACCGTAACGACAACGACGATGGTGGTAATGAGGGCAATGCACGTAATACTGGTAGTGACGATGATGATGTTAAGTGGCGCCAGTTATGGCAAGTGCAATCGTTTGGCGTAGCTCGTGCTTTCATGTTGCCGCTGCTCGTTTCGTTTACTTCTGCAGCGATGAGGTCGCCAACAACTATGTCGACGCAGGCGAGAACGTGCTTCGTGGACGCTTGCTTGGACAAAAAACCCTGGGCAGGTTGGAACCGGTGCCGCCCCCTAAAACGTTTGAGTCCCTCGGGGAAACCGCCCCCCCCCCCCCCCGGACACTGGCTTCTCTAACCGGGGAGCCCTCCCACCTCCTCCCCCCCCCCCTCGGACACCGGCCTTTCAAGCCTGGGAGGCCCCCCGACCTCGGGTTCGAACTGGCCCCCCTTCCAGGGGGTTCGAAGCGTCCACCCCCCCTCATCCTCTTACTTGCATCCTACGAGTGCTCGATGAAGCTCTGATCGGATCCTACAATCGCTGCCTATAACTGTGATAACATCCTTCATGAGGTAATTTCGCTCAGCCATATGCCTCATGAGCTAGATTCGCACATCCAGCTCCAGCGCTCCAGTCCCTTGAGCTAGCTCCGAACCAGGCGCAGATCAGATCCTCCTCCTCCTCCCCCTCCCCCTTCGTATGGGGGAAACGGCTCCGAGGAAAACAGGCCCTGGACTTAAGTCGGGCCTGTCCCTCTACAGGGGGATTTTGAACGACAAATATATAAAATAGTCAAAACATACTCAAAAGATGCCCCCAAATACTCAAAACATAGTCCTAAGCCAAACTGTTTGACTATTCTTGAACATTCCCCCTGTAGAGGGACAGGCCCGACTTAACCCTGGACCCCGGGGCCCTCCCTCAGGCCCACTTCTTCCTCCCGAGCCGTCTCTTGACGCTCCCAGGGCCCGTGGAGGGCCCGAAAACACAATGCAGAGCCTCATGTCGGCGGCGAGCGAGAAGGGAAAGTGAGAAGGAGAAGGCCCACTTCTTCCTCCCGAGCCGTCTTCTGACGGTCCCAGGGCCCGTGGAGGGTCCCGAGGGCCCGAAAACACAATGCAGAGCCTCGGGTCGGCGGCGAGCGAGGGGGGGAAGTGAGAAGGAGAAGGCCCTCTCAGAAGACGGCGGGACTCCGCAGGAGCTCTCGCGCCTCCTGAAGCGTTTCCTGCATGCGTCCTAAGGGAAAGGCTGGGACGACTCCTCTCGGAAGACCCGGAGGCCCCCGAGCCTTTCGAGAAGGCCCGCCCCTCCTCCCTTCCCCCCCCCTAATAGGGGGAAAACAAACCTACCTCGCTTTTGACCACCCTCGCTTCCAAGAGATACCAAGCGATGCCAAACTACGGCCTGTACTGGTCAGGCCGCTTGACGAGGAGGCGCGTGGTATGACTTGGTTTTGCCTGGAAGCGAAACCGGGGTAGGCAATTCACGCTCTGACCCAAAGCTCGCCGCCGATCAGGACCCGTTCCCCTCGGGACCCGCCTCCCCCATGCCGGCCCCCTCTCCTTCGGGACCCGCCTCCCCTCCTTCGGGACCCGCCTCTCGGAAGACCCGGAGGCCCCCGAGCCCTTCGAGAAGGCCCGCCCCTCCTCCCTCCCCCCCCCCCCCCCCAAAACTCGCCGCCGATCAGGACCCGTTTCCTTCGGCACCCGCCTGAGGAGGAGGAGGAGGAGGAGGAGGAGGAGGAGGAGGAGGAGGAGGAGGAGGAGGAGGGCCCCCTCTCCCCGGGCGGCGCCGGCGGCCTCTGCCGCGAGGCGTTGGGCGCCACGAGCGGGGCGGCCGCGCCCTGCGGCGGGCAGCCCGGCTGCGCCGCGGGCCCGGGGGCCACGCGGCTCTCGCGGTCGCCCTGCGTCCGGGGGCAGGGGCGGCCGTCGGCGTCGGCGGGAGGGGGGGGGCAGGAGGCGGCGGACGCGGAGGACGAGGGAGGGTTCATGGGGGAGAGAAGAAGCATGATAGTAATAAAAAGTTGCAGATCATAATAATACTACTAAGACTAAGCAGAATAATAAGACTAAGCAGAAGAAGACGAAGAAGACACATCAGAAAGAAGACGGGGGTGCGGGGCTGGGGTGCGGTGCCCTGGAAGAGGCCTTTCTGCTCCCCTGCCAGAGGTTCCAGCGGCGAGGGACAGAGAGAGAAAGAGAGAGAGAGAGAGACAGAGGACACGGGGAGGGGGAGGATGATACGGGGAGGGGGAGGATGGGCGGAGGATGGGCATGAGGCGGCGGGGGAGGGGGAGGGCGATCGGGAGGCGGCGGTGGGGAGGGAGCTGGGGCCGCGCGGAACATCCTTGAGGCACCGCGCGGCCGCTTTAGAACTAGGCCGGGCATGTTCCCCTACAGGCGGATTTTGGGCGAAGAAAAACAAAGATTCCAAACATGCCCCCAAGCAGCTAAACAAATTTAAGAAAAACTCGTTCCCATACTATTGTGTGACTATTTGTTAGGATTCTCCTCCTGCAGAGGGACATGCCCGACTTTACTTCAGAGGAAGAGCAAGCGGCACGACCATAAACATGTGGCGCTCCGCGCGGATTTCTTGGATCCGCGCTGGACCCCCCTCACTGGCGGGCGGAGCGCGCCAGGGGCGGCGCTGGAGGCGACGCCAGGGGGCCCAGCGCAGATCCAAGAAGTCCGCGCTGAGCGCCAAAAGTTTAGGCTCAGATCTGGCGGGCGCACGCCTGGAAAATGACGGCCGCGGCGCCCTCTCGAGAACCGAAAACGGATAACTCACTAATCGACGTGTCAGGGTGGGAGGTCTGTCCGCCCCCCGAGTCGGACTTCTGGCGGACTCACAGCGGCCTTGCGTCGGAGCATCGCCGCGGGGACGCCGTCCCGGAATCATCTGACGGGGCGGGGCGTAGGCACCAGCTGACACTTACAGCTATGGCGCTCCGCGCGAGGCCTCCAGAGTGCCTGCCGTCGAGGAGGACGACGAAGAGGACGATGCCTATGGCGACGCCGACGACGAGAGAAGGGGCGAGGGAGAATCCCCCTCATGCGTCCCTTCCTCCTCCTCCTCCTCCTCCTCCTCCTCGTCCTCCTCCTCCTCCTTCTCCTCGTCGTCCTCCTCCTCCTCCTCCCTCTCCCTCTCCCTCTCCTCCTCCTCCTCCTCCTCCTCCTCCCCCTCCTCCTCCTCCTCCTCCTCCTCCTCTCCTCCTCCTCCTCCTCCTCCTCCCTCCTCCTCCTCTCTCCTCCTCCTCCTCCTCCTCCTCCTCCTCTCCTCCTCCTCCTCCTCCTCCTCCTCCTCCTCCTCCTCCTCCTCCTCCTCCTCCTCCTCCCTACTTGATGAGAAGGCGGCGGCGGCGGCCGCGACGGCGGCGACAGCGAGGGGCGGCGACGGTGGCGGCGGCTAAGCACGGCGGCGGGCCATGGGCAGCGGCTCCGCGGCCCTCCCCTCGAGGAGGCGGCGGCGGGGGCTTCGGGGCGAGGAGGGCCGCCTTTCGCACGCCGCGGGCCGCCTCCCGCAGCTCTCGGCTCCCCTCGCCTGCGGGCGTGCTGCGTGGCGGCGGCCGCGGAGGAGCACCGCCGATGGCTCCCTTCTCGCTCCTTAGCTTGCTCCTCGCTCCTCCTTCTCGTCTTCCTCCAGCTCCCTTGTTTCCTTCCCACTTCCCGTCCTCCTCCTCCTCCTCCTCCTCCTCCTCCTCCACCCTCGTATCCTTCTCACTGCTCCTCCTCCTCCTCCTCCTCCTCCTTCCTCCTACCTCCTCCACCCCTCTCACACTCTTCTTTTTCCCTTTGTTATATTAATGGTCTTATTCGCTTTGGTGGTGCTATTATCATTATTGTTCTTCGTATGGTTTTCATTATTATTATAATTCGTATTGGTAGTATTATTAGTGTATTTGATACTATCATTATTGTTCGTACGTTTCTTACTGTGAGTAGTATTACTCGTAGTAGTAGTACGAATACTATTACTATTGTTGCTAATTGTTAGAATTGCTATTATTATCTGGTAATTGCTATTCGTATTCTTATTCGTCTACCTCATCTGCCTCGTCCTCTTCTCCTACCTCCTGCTCCTCATCCCTCTCCCTCTTCCTCCTCCCCCACTCCTCGCTCCTCCTCGCTTCTCCTCCCCTCCTTGCTCCTCCTCTCCCACCCTCCTCTCTCCCCTCCTCTTCCTCCCCTCCTCGCTCCTCCCTCTCCCTCTTCCTCCTCCCCCCCCCTCCCCGCTCCTCCTCCCCCGCCCTCTTTCTCCTCCCCCCCGTCCTCTTCCGGAGCCCCCCCGCTTCCTCCC